ATTCATCTTCAAAATCAGATAAAATATTTGATCCTAAGAGAAGTATGTATAGGATACTTAATAGGATAATAGGAAAAATATTTCCAATCTCACGACATATTGTTGCAATCCAAGTCCTTGGATATGCCAGTATATGGATGAATTGCTATCACAAAGCCATCCTGTCGTTTGGGATTAGAAGACGATGCCCGATTCCACAAACTTACCACTTAGATTAGAACTTTATTTCATTTTCAGAAACAGGCAGCAGAAATTGAAATATATAGGTAGGTATAGGTACCTGGTAACGTGAGAAAAATGAACTAACTTACCATCATTATGGGTGTCGGTATTTTCGCCCTATGATAATTAAAGGACGAAAAAGATAGGTATTTTCGCCCTAGTTCAAAAGTAAACCAAAATAAATTCTAGTAATTTCGCCCCACGCTACCTGACGTATTAGGGAAGGCAATAATTGATAAAACCACAATGTTCTCATATACAGGTGTGCAATTTAATGAATATCTTAGGTTAAGTTACAGTTTACCAGTCTCTGAAACTAAGCTAAAAATGTAATTTTCTTACTTTTAAGGTGCACAATGAAAAGAAATGCATTTTATTAAATGAAGTCTAGTGATTTCACCAAAACTGTAGGTACTGTTTAATTGTCTCTTCAATACATTTTTGCCGGTTTTTAACTTTTACATTATGAATTTTACTGTTTGATGTGTATTTTGTATTTTTACATATGTTTCTATTTGAAACTCTTTTAACTTTTCAACAAAAACATATAAATTTGGATGTGAACTATACATTGAACTATTAAAATTGCGGTGGAAGGACTCACAAGCATTTGCCGTTCTTGTAAGTGTTGCAGTATTTTCAGTCCAAAGTTGTAGCGGAAACCAGGGAATCTTCAGAAATATAAGTGTCTGTAAAATAGTCTGCATTTTACAATTCTTCAATGAACCAGTTTAGGAAATTCCACCCCCAGATTAAAGAAAAGACATTAATGTAATTATTTGGGTGTAAGGGTATTTGGGGCGAAATTACCTGTTAACCTGAGCGGCCTAAGTGGACATTTTGAAACTCATGGTCATTGGGGCGAATTTACCTGTCGTACCCTAATAATTATAAGAGTTGAACCGATTTGTACCATTTTCAAATAAATTTGATTTTGATTATCTTTAACTTAAAAACCGATCCATTTGATACAACTTAAAGCCAAAATCCACCGTTCATAGATAATGTTAATCAAGAATTCTCAACTCTCCCAAACACAAACTTTGTACTCTGTAGATAATAAAAAATCACCGTTATGAATCCCCCCTTATATATTGGGGATGAAAAATAGGGATATATAGCGAGGCCATCGCTCATCAAATCAATCAAGATGACAATCTTCACTGGATGGGTGCGACATGTTGTGTCTTGTTTGCATAGTAAATAAATATACAGGGTGTCTGTATATTCAAGCGACAATGCTTGACAGGTGACAGACCTCGCATTTCTATAAAAATTGCCTTAATGTGCCTAATTCCAGGGTGTCAAAGTTTCACTACAAATTGGAAAAAAGTCTTGAGAATTTTAAAAAAAGTCGTGAATGAATTTTTGATTTCTCGCCGTAACAAACAAACCCCGATACGTGATTTCGGATCGCTGTGTGGTTTTGTTGAGGAATAGTTAACAAAAATCGAAAAACTTTTGAGACCCTGTATTTTGAAAATTCAGCATATTAAAGCTGCATAATCCTATCTTAATTTTTATGAAAATTCGAGGTATAATGTCACCTGTCAAGCATTGTCGGACCAATATCCGGACAGCCTGTATATATTTTTGAGTGATGTGTTTCTATGATGCAACTATATTCAATAAAAAACGCTTTCCAACTTTTTCCAATTATTTTTCACAGTAGTCGCCTTCGAGCGCCATCTCATGCACAAGTTAAATATTACAAGGTAGTACTGGTAAGATAAATTAACTTTCCTTTTTTCAAACATTCGCCAATTTGTCAATGGGTCAAAAGCTATAAGTCAATATGATTTTATGAAATAGGTAGGTATTTGAAAATAGCAAAATCTTCAAGATTGTGATAAAGAATTGATTGGTATTGGTTATGGAAATAATTCATATGAAATTCTTTTGAAATCTTGTGTCTTACAGAGTAATGAGGTGAGTAGTGACAAAGTTCTTGGTTGCATTTTTTCATAGAATCTTGCTCCAAATCTCAGAATAATTTAGTGTATGGAGTTTCGGGGATCCCAGAGGACCATAAGGACACAAAATCTCAACAAAAAAAAAATTGAAATTTCATCGTTTTAGTAAGAAGGTGGCTACTTTATGATTTAGATTTTGGAAAACTTTGAAAGGCATAACTTTTTTTCTATTAAAGATAGAAAACTGAAATTTCCAGCGATTCTTATCCCAGTAGAGGACTATAATCCCTGAAAATTTCAGCTCAATTGGACTTATAATTTCAGAAATAAAATCGTGCTAAACAATTTGGGATGGTTTATCAATTTTCCAATTTTTCTGAGTGCCTTTTTTCATAGAATCCGGCTCCAAGTCTCAGAAAAATTTAGTGTATGAAGTCTTAGGGTTTCCGGATGATCATTTAAATATAAAATTTCATTACAAAAAAATTGAAATTTTATCATTTTAGTATTATGATTTAGATTTTTTGTAAACTTTAAAAAATCATAACTTTTTTTTCTATTAGAGATAGATACGTAGTCAGTAATGCGTAACTTTCATTGATGATTTCTTGAATCTTTAGAAGTCCAAACAATAATACAGAAGTCACAACAGCGGAAAAATACAATGGAAATAAACCAGACATTAGGAATTTGAAAGTAGTCGGTTCTACAGCAGCATATCTACTTTTGGGTAATCCTCCGTGAGCTAAATGATGACATTGTTGACTCACGTGATCTTCCATTTGAAATTACAAAACTGTTCACACGGAGTTATCTTTTTTTCGCGCGGATTAACCGAACTCTTTTATAGTATTCCAAAAATATTTAGAGCTAAGTTTGATTCAAAAGGTATAGAAGATCTATACAAAAGTAGATTTTGAGATATTAAAGTCGAGAAGAGAAAATGATAATGGCAAGAGATGTATTTTGAATAGTAACTAATACTGTTATAAAAATTAAAGAATATAGAGACAGTAATAAACAGTAGTGAAGACGAAAGACGTGAATATATAGAAGGAAGTAAAGATGAACAAGAGGATATACAAGAACAAATACAAAATGAAATACAATAAATTGACCAAAGAAAGAGAAATAGACGATTACCAACTACATAGATAGAACAGTGAATTTGAAATGTATATGGCTTTCGATTCAATATCATGTGTTGAAGATGTACCCAAAACAGACGAAGGGATAAGAATACATGAATGCCAGCAATCGTGAGAAAAATGAATCAATCAAAATGGGTATTTACCAAGAGACCATTAGAAGAACATATTTTTTATACTTAGCAATTTTTAGGTGCTGTGCTACTTTTTTATACATATTATGAAATAACTCGTAATGAAGCTGATTTTTGTTAGTAATTGTATTTAGTTTCCAGTATAGCTCAAAAACTGTTGTATATTCTTATTTGAGTTTCATTTACGAAAACTTTACCAAAACGTCAATATACCTTCGAATATAGCTAAACAGTGAGTAAGGATCTTTTATGTGTAACCATCCCAGATGGGGGTTGGGGTGCAGGGCTACCGTGTCGCAGCCGCCATCTCATCAATCATCCCCGAGACAGCCCGCGTAAGGACAGCTGTCGCACGCCGCGCTACCATATAGAAATTGCGAGATTGCCAATTGATTCAAAAAAACATAAAAAAAACTACTTAATAATTTAATTAACATCTAAAGACTTTGTTTAAATTGGGAAAGTAAAGAAGAAAATGAAAAAAACATCAATGGATAGTAAAGGTATATAGAGTGGTATGCAAATAAAGATTATTAGCAAAAATCTAGAAAAAAAGAAAAACAAACACACACTACTCAGAAATGTACAACGAGTTTCGGATTTCTCTGTAATATTTCCGGATTTCATTCGGACAAAGTCTGGCAACTTTGCCCGTATTGAAACTCCATTCAACTTTTAGCCCATGGAGTTTCGGTTAGTTGCGACTTTCCTTGCACTCCACTCCCGAAATTAATCCGCGCTACACACAAAACGGAAGAGGTCTAATTATTCGAACCGCGTTACATCCATCAATTTCGAATTAGACGAGTTAATTTTAATTTCGAAGGGTTTTAATATATAATCTAATGGGATTTTACCGAAATTTAATTTTTGCACAAAGTTACAGGGCGATTTTCAAAAAAATCACCAGTGATTTTCTCTGCAGAAACACTTATGATTTCAGCTAATACATACAGAGTTTCCTCGAAACATTTGAGGCCTCTCCAAAACATCCTGTAATTGAGGTTCTATTTTCAGAAACTATCAATAGACTCTGGTTAAAACCAATTAAATCCTCCAATTGATTCTTATACAGGGTGTCTTTCAAAAGTTAGGGGACTTGATTTTGAGAACCACTCTGACAAAACCTCAAGCTTGTCATATCACTAATCCGCCGTCCCCTAAAATTAGATCCAAAGAAAATTTAAATAAGTAAACTTTTCTTAATCTTAAAATATAGTTATTTATCAGGTATCAAGAGCAATGGAAACATTATAACAAAGGAGCAAGAGGTTAAATAAAACATATTTTACTACTGAAATATCCCTTTCATAGCTTCTGTCAGAATATTTTCTCTAGTGCTCCACTGGATCTTCCTTTTCGTCAAACTTTGTTGGTAATTGCTCTGAGCCGACTTTATTCCTTTTAGTGCCTTCTTGTTCCTCTTCCTGCGATTCTGGTACCATTGTCTAATAGTGCTTTCTTGTAAATTCAACATTTGCGCCAACTGGAATCGCCTGCATCCATCAATGCGTTGATTTTTCGAGAACTCGTTTTTCAAGGTACAAAGTTGGTGGATGGTGAACCGGGTTCTCCTTATATACCTTCTATGGCCCAAAGCTGTAGACGTGTTGCCCAATAAACAATTACTTGTTGCTGTGGGAGTATAACAGCTTTGTTTTGGATATAAGGTGTTTGCGTAGGGGTTGAATTTTATAGGATTCTGATGGCTTGCGTATTGAGAATTTGGAATAAGTGGATCTGGATGCGCAGTCATTGCAAGGGACGAAGTTATTCGAGCTGGTGTTGGCACAAATACTGAAAAAATTAGAAAGTTTCTATTTGAAATTCTCATAAAAGCAACTAAATTGTTTATGAACAAAGCATAAATGACTGTCTTGCAAAAACTACAGTAGATATATGAAGAAAAATCTAGAGCGAAACACCAGCCTATATAATATGGGCAATTATTTGCTATTTATCGGCATTGTATAGCGTTAATAACTATAACAAAATTTATATCACAATAACATCAAAGATCAGCACTTTTTCACAATAAAGTACAGGGTGATCTATTATAAATGTCACCCCCTTCTAACTTTTTCATTTGACATTTTTGACAAAAGTGTCAAATACAAGAGTTTTGACAAATAATCGAAAGTTTTTAACAGTTGATTTCAGGCATACAGGGTGCGTCAAAAAAGTGCAGCAGTGTGAAGTTATATTTTTTTAAATGCAACATCCTGTATATTGTACGCTCATTTGGTAGTCCCTTTTAACCTGATTTCAACGATATACGATTTAATATGTCTATCTTCAATAGCTATAGGGAAAAACATGAAAACCCCTTTCAAGGTTTCACATTGAAAAAAGAAAAATTATACCAGCATCAAAAAAGATCGGCTTAAGCATGAACCTATCGAAAACAAAAGTTATTAGTAACACGGAAGTAAACATGAAAATAGAAAACACTACATTGGAAAACGTAAACGAATACATATACCTGGGACATGTTATAAAGATAGGCAAAGAAAACCAATCAGCTGAAATAAGACGTAGAATAAAACTGGCTTGGATAGCCTTTGGAAAACTGAACTACATCTTCAGAAATCAGGAGGTAACAATAAATCTCAAAAGCAAGGTCTTCGATATGTGTATTCTACCAGTGGCAACCTATGGCCTAGAAACAATGGCAATGACAAAGAAAAGTGCTGAGCGCCTGAGAGTAATGCAGAGAGCCATGGAACGGGCCATGCTCGGTATATGTTTGAGAGATAAAGTCAGAAATGAGGAAATTCCACGAAGAACTAAGGTCGCAGATATAATGAAACGCACTGCAGAGCTCAAATGGAAATGGGTGAGACATGTGGCTAGACAAAAAGAAAATCGATGGACATCGAGATGTCTACATTAGAGACCAAGACTGGCAAAGCGTGGCGTGGGAAGACCACAGAAGAGATGGCTCGACGATATAAGGAAACAAGCAGGAAGGAGGTGGTTCCAGATGGCACAAGACAGAGACGCGTGGAGATACATGAAAGAGGCCTACGTCCAGGAGTGGACAACAGATGGCTGAGGAAGAAGAAGAAGGTACTTACATAGTAGAGTTGGTACTTGTAGCTGCGATTCTTGGACATAATATGGCCACCTCTGGATTGGAACATTCTTATATAGATGTTCAGTAGACAATGCAATTTGGGATGTTTGCATAATACTTTGTGACGTCTTAATCACTTGCAAATGCATTAATCATTTTTTCAACTTGAAGTTAGTCGCAGGAAAAATTAAGGAACTATTTCACTGACAAGTAGCTCGAGCAAAACTGAATAAAGATATGGCCGAAATGATTGTTTAAATACTAAATTCAGGTAATATTTTCATTAATACTCAATGAAATGATAGTAACCGTTATGGTTTCCCAAAATCTTTCATTATTATAATTATTGCGATTGATTGACCTGTAATAATATCCTCTCATAGGTACTTATAGTCCAGGAGGCAGTTAAATTTTTTATTTCCTACTGAACTATTATAACCATATAATACCTTGGTTACGATAATCATAAACAGTATCTTAACTCCCAAGGGAGTTAGGAATTTCATAACTCCCGCGTGGGAGTTAAGGATATCATAACTCCCAAGGGAGTTAAGGATTTCTTCCATAACTCCCGCTTTTACCTTGAATAGGTGAACTTTGACAAAAAATAGAAGGCCCTCGGGACACAAACTTTGCCCTGGGGTATTAACACCCTCTAATTCCCTTGATACATAAATAACTATTAGTACTTATTTTCCCAGTTGATGTATATTAAATAGTTTGTTCTCTTGGTGATACAAAACAAGAATATTTGAGTTTCACTAAAATTTTCGGATGGGCTCACAAGATCAATGAAAAATACAAGTACACTTATTTTCTCACTCATAAATATCTCACATTCACTACAATAGAAAATAAAGTACATGAAAATAGCAATTTGGCTTATCTCAGATAGTGGAAAGTGAGTCTGGCTGAAATTTTTCGGATTATCCATACTCACAAATTAGCCGGACTATTTTCTCACGTAACTTTAGTACACTTCTCATTAGTAGACCTATTTTTATCACCGAAAAAAAAAGGACGGTGGATTCGTCAGCTCTAACGCATTTTGCGCCTCAACCGATCGGGAAACCTCCCCTAAAAATATATGAATTTTGCTTAGAATTACCAACCCTACAATTCTATCCATGTTGTTTGACTGGGAAAATAAGTGCCAAAAATCGTCACTGCCTCCTAGACTATTATATCCTATTCACAATCTGTAGTCCAAAGGTACAGGTAAATTTATCTCCTTTCCCTATCAAATAGCATCGAAAGGTGATAAATTTTACCTGTACCTTTGGACTACAAATTGTGAATAGACAATACCAAGTGTAGTTTTTCGAATTTTTAAAGTTAAAAATTGCAGTTGAGGAGGAGAAGTTAGATTTAAAAGTAGGTATCAAAAATTATTACTCTATAGTGCTTTTCCCCAGAATCTAGGAAGTGACAGAGGGTTGGCAAAGCCGCTGTTTTTATTAAACATTGAAAATTTTCTAAAAGTGACACTGAAACAGTTTTTGGCTCACAGTTCCGTTCATTTTTATCCGATTTCAATGTTACTATGAGCTCTGATTAAAGCTAATTAAATTCTCTATGAACTAGTCAATAAGGTTTTTAATTTAGTTTCAACAGTTTTGTAGCTGAGAAGTTTCAAAATTGAAATTATCGAACATTGAAAAGTTTCCAAAAATGACACTAAAAAAGTTTTTGCCTCACAACTCCATTTATTTTCATCCGATTTCAATGAAATTAAGCTCAGATTAAAGCCAATTGAATACAAATTTTTTTTTTTAGTTACCTTACTACTAGTATCTTGAGAGAAGTTCCTTTCGATTTTTACTTTTATATCTAAGAATTGTTTGATTGATATTAGTGTTTTTTTTGAAAAAAAATTCTTGGAAATTTTTCCCAAATTACACAGAAATCCCAAAGTCCACTGGGTTTTTATCAATATTAATTATGGGTTTTTGTATATGCCAACCAACCAAAATGGTTCTAGTAGGCAAGTTATTGGAAAACGAAATCAAGTAGATTCAAAGAAAAAAAGCATGGCTAAAGGTTCATCTTGAAATGTTTGGAGACGAAATTCTAACATAATCAGAAGAACCTGTTAAACACATACAATTCTCCAGAGACTTTTTAAAACTAGGAGTTGATGAATATGGTTTAGCAAGATCTTTATCCAGAAAATATATCTCCATTCACAGTAGAGCAAATTCTTCAAAAGCAAAGGATCATTCCAGAGTTCCAGGAGTCGTGAAAGATCCCAAAGCAATGCTGAAGTACCATAATAAGATCAATCAATATTTTACACGACAAGTTGAAAGAATGACTATTTTGTACTCGTTTCTTCACATGCCTGAAAAACTTGATCCTAAGCGTAGGTAATCATAAATATAGTTTGGATATTTTTTGGCCTAGAGTGAAAAAGTAGTTAATTCATAAGGAATAAAGTGAAAGAACATTTGAAAAATGTCTTAACTTTTCGAAAATGTCCAATTTGTGGACTGTATGGATAGTTTATTGAATGACTATGAAAAGGCTCTGGGATATTCGAATCTATTTTGTTTATAAAGTATAGTTCCAAGAAGTTAGAAAAGTTGGAAGTTGCATTCGGCAAATGGCAACAATTCAAAAATATCCTAACTTTTGGAAAACATCCTGAGCAAGAATAAAACTTCAGGATTTTATAAATAGTTTGTTGTAGGCACTGATGATTATCGAAATGTTCTAGAATATTCGAAACTATTTGCTTTATAAAGTACCTAGTTTTAAAAAGTTAGAAATTAAAATTTTATTATATGAAGTATTTATTAAACTTTGACACCCTGTACTAGCATTAACTGTTTTATTGAGGTTTTAATGGATTATTAGAGGATCCATTCATATCTTACGATAAAAATTTGATTTACTAGTTACAGGATAGTTTTGAAAAACAAAGATTTTTTGAGCCGCTTTATAATTGAAGTTAAAATTGTATTGGAAAATACTGGAGAAAGCATCTGAAAGGCCATGGAATTCTCTATCAGATTTAGAAGAGTTTGCACAGAAATCCTCAGAAAATTGGAAGTTTTGAAAATTGAATATTTTACTCCCAACTCAAATCTTGATGTTTTTGAACTTTTTTCGAACACCACATACTAGCATGGAACATGATCTTTTTGATAGGATCTAGCCGATTAATTATGGAGTTAAAGTTATCGCCCAATTCTCAATTCGGAAATAGACCCATTTTTGTACTGATTCAAAAAACACCATACGCCATATAAATGAGATTATATAGATTATTTATTTTTGAATAAAATTCCTCTCAACACAATATCATCTTCGAATTTAAACAAACACCAATTTCAATTATTGTAGAATTACGTACATATAATTTAATGATGACTGGGCCTTTATTAGGGTTTTGAGCTGAACTTTATGAGGTTCACAACAGAATCAGGATTGTTTTCAAGTCAATAAAACTTGGGATAGCAAAACAAGAAAACAAGCAAGTTAAGACACGATTCATCCCTTTAATATTCGAAAACCCTTAGAATAAATACCTATACTTTTAGAAAAATCAAAACAAGTATTGTCTTTTTACGATTTTGTTTTCGAAGTCCAGGGGTCAGCGATAACAATTTCGAATATTTGGGATGACAAATAAATCGTAAAATTATTATCTCTTGCAAAGAATACAGTGTTTACTTGGTTCGTACCTTGTTTGCATTTGGCAAAAATAATAATAGAGTCT